TCCAACAAACTGGGCGAGCCTGGGATTCAAGAGTCCATGAGTGACCCAATAGTCTCAACAATCCAGGGAGCATTCGACGCTGCCCTACCGACACAGGGCGGTGGGTTTGCCTTTGAGGTTGGTGAAGCAGGCACAGAGCTGGCTTTCTTAGTGGCAATTTCAGGGTATGGGTGGGGGCACTTGTTTTTCTTTTTCAAAAAAAGATTCTCCTGTTTTCTCTAAATAATCTGAAAATGGGTTATTTGGGGTACACCCCAGCCAGGCTGAATCGGAATCTCCAGTGTTTAAGCAACCAGCCAGGTAGTTCTCATAGTCCAGCATATCGCATTACAAGTGAGCACATAAGCCAAGCAGGTACAAAATTCTCCAAGTCTCAAATGCAACTCTTTTTAGGAAGAAGTGCTTTGCTATAACAGTAATTTTTTAAAGGATGGAAAGGAGAGCATGTGAGAGAGTGAAAAGGAGTGAAAGGTAAGCAGGGATTTGTATACTATTACTGCTGCAGGGGATTGAGAAGATTCTCTTGGTTTATCTTCTGATTCACTGACTATTATTCAAGCCCACTGCCCACACCTTGGCCGCACCTCTAAGTGCTGGTACAAGTTGACAGACATAGGCAGAGAGGAGCCCATTTTATTTCTGGCTGATTGATTCTGTGTTCCACTCTGGTCAGGCAGGGCAGACACCAAGTGAAGAGGGGCTGCCTGAGGCCAACGCTGGGTGGAAGCTGGAGATTCAAGGAAGGCAGCTACCTGTACAACCAGATTCCCCATCAGAGGGTAAGCTGCTTCCCAGCCTCTTGCCAGCACCCAGACCCCACCCAGAAGGAGGGAGGAAGGAGGGAAAAGCAAGAGGGGAGGCAAAGCAAGGGAAAGAATGAAGATGGGAAAGAACAGACACAGGTATAACGGCCAGAGGGATACAAGGGACAAAATGAAGGGGAAGAGACGGGGAGGGTGGGAAGAGAAGTCCATTAGGAGAAAGAGCAACCAAAGGAAGACATTAGGGAAAGAAGGCGGGACCTGGGAGGGAAAGGATGTGAAGGGGAGGAAGAGGAGGAGAAATCTAGAAACACGACAATGTCAGGAAGAAGCTATGAAAACGAAGTCACTAGAAGAATCCCATTTCACAAATCAGCTGTGCTGCTCACTCTTGCCCTTTCTTGGTTCTCCAAGCATTTCATCATGATTTATCTATTGTATGGTATGTCCCCAGTTGGACAGAATTGGTTCTTGAAGTTCAACTGCCCTCTAACCAGTCCCTCCTTGTGCCTGGATCCCTGGAAACCTGGAAACACCTAGTGCTGTGGGCCAACAGTGTCCTTTATGGAGATAAATGGAGAGTATTGCTACCGCTGCTGTCACAAGCTTTCCAGAGGGGCTGTAATATATAAAAAAACATATTCATTGCAGCCTGTCTAAGCCATGGAGAGCTCCCGCAATTGTTCATTAGCACCTTCTGACAGGTGACTATTAGGAGCGCCTGTCAGAATAGACTGGGTATTACAGAGGATTCTGGTGGGCACTCCTACCACTACTACTCAGCACAGTCACTGCCCCCACTCCCAAGCCTGTAGTCTGGGGAGGAGCTGGAGAATATGGTGTAATTAAGACAGGATTTGTGTCTCCTTGAAACTCGGGAGATGTTCTTCGTTTCTATTTTCAGAGGCAACTTTTTTCAGAAAGACAAACTGTGTGGCCCTCTGCTGGGAAATCCACACCTTTCCTCACACCCACCCATGCCAACCACCATGCAGCCATACTGCGATGTCATACCAAAGCACTGGGCCCCCAAAACTGATTTTCAGAACCTCAGGTCCCACGCGATGGGCTACAGGCGTGGGCCAAATCCAGACCAAACTACCATCAAACTGATTCCGACTCATGGTGACCCTAGACATACACCATTGCTGAGACTGAGTGTCACGGGAGCAGATGGCCTCCTATTTCTCCCACAGAGGCACTGGTGGGTTCAAATAGCTCACCTTGCAGGAAACGAGTCCATGTGCAAGCTATTATAAGCCCGGGTGCAAGCCTGTGTGTTGGAGGCCAAACACACTTGGAGAACTGGGCCTAAAAGGACATGTAGCTGGGAAGAAAATCAGAGAGAGCGCCCCTGCTGGCAAAGCCTAAGTTAGGAAATGTTCCTCTGCTTGTCTCTGTGGAAACACGTGTGCTGCTTGGGGACAGCTCAATGAAGGGCCTTCAGGGTCTGGGGCTAACGTGGGGCTCCAAGCAGCCCTTAGAAACCTTGTCTTTCATATGTTGAACCATCCCTGGTATCCCACTTGGTCATGGTGAATTTTTTTTTTTTAATCGATAGATGCAGAAAAAGCATTCGACAACATCCAACACCAATTCCTGTTTAAGACACTTGAGAAGATAGGAATGGAAGGAAAATTCCTGAAGACAATACAAGCTATATATGAAAAACCAACAACCAACGTAGTGGTCAATGGAGAAAAGACTAACACAATCCCACTGAAAAAGGGGACCAGACAAGGATGCCCCTTGTCCCCACTCTTATTTGATATCGTGCTGGAGGTTTTAGCTAACAGCATAAAGCAAAGAAGAGGCATCAAAGGTATTCATCTGGGGAAAGAGGTGAAACTATCATTGTTTTCAGATGATATGATTTTATATATGGAAAATCCCAAGAGGAGTTTGTCAGACTGTTATACACATTGGATAAGACCACAGAAGAGGAGATGAAAAAGGTGGTAACCTTCACAACAGCCAAACACAAATTGAAGTATCTAGGGCTATACCTGACTAAAAGAACCAAAGATCTATATGGGGAAAACTATAGAACACTATTACAAGAAACCAAGAGCAACCTCAACAAATAGAAGAATATCCCATGCTTGTGGATTGGAAGACCCAATATAGTCAAGATGTCAGTTCTGCCAAAGGCACTATATAAGTTTAATGCAATCCCAATACTATTACCCTCATCTTTCCTCAAAGAAATGGAAAAACTGATTACCAATTTCATATGGAGAGGGAAGAAGCCCAGAATTAGCAGAGAACTCCTCAAGAAGAAGGACACAGTGGGAGGGCTTGCTTTACCAGACTTTAGCACATACTATACAGCCACAGTTGTCAAAAACCGCATGGTATTGGTACAATGACAGAGACTCAGACCAATGGAAAAGAACTGAAAACCCAGAAGTAAAATCATCAGCATACAGACAACTGATTTTTGATAAGGGCACCAAAAATATCAAGTGGGAACGTGATGCCCTCTTTAACCAGTGGTGCTGGAAAAAATGGATATTTACCTGTAGAAAAATGAAGCAAGACCCTTATCTCACTCCATGAACAAGAATAAACTCAAGGTGGATCACAGATCTTGAAGTTAAACCCCAAACTCTTAGGGCCATTAATGAGGGAATTGGGACCAACTTGACAACTTTGGCATAGGGAATACATAGGCTATCAGAAATAGGGAAGGACACAAACACAGAGGAGGCACAAATTGACAAATGGGATATACTGAAAAAAAACACCTGTGTACATCAAAAGAATTCACCAAGAAAGTAATAAGAGTCCACAGACTGGGAAAACATCTTTAGCAATAACACATCAAACAAAGGCCTTATTACTGAAATCTACAATACTCTGCTAGCTTCCAAAAAGAAAAAAAACTTATTGCCCACCGAGGAGGTGGGCAAAGGACATGAACAGAAGTTTCACGGGCAGAAATCAGAATGGCCAACAAATATGAGAAAATGTTCCCGATCTTTAGCCATAAGAGAAATGCAAATTAAAACAACAATGAAGTACCGCCTAACACCCTTAAAAGTAGCCTAATTCAAAAAATCGGAAAGCAACAAGTGTTGGAGGGACTGTGGGGGGACAGGAACTCTCATCCACTGCTGGTGGACTTGTAAGTATGTACGACCACTATGGAAATCCATCTGGTGATATCTAAAACAGATGGAAATCGAGTTACCATACGACCCAGCCATCCCCCTATTGGGCATATATCCAGAAGAGTCAAGAAGCAAACCAAGACCAGACCTCTGTGCTCCAATGTTCATTGTGGCACAGTTCACAATTGCAAGGAGTTGGAAGCAAACCAATTTCCATCAAGTGACAACTGGATTAAAAAACTGTGGTATATACATACAATGGAGTACTACACATCGCTAAAAAGCAGTGATGAACGTATGAAGCACATAGCTGCATGGGAAGAACTGGAGGGAATCATGCTAAGTGAAGTAAGTCAAGTACAAAAGGAC